ACAGCAAAGGCACCAGTTCAGCATTTGTTAATTTTTTTTACAAAGTTTCATGATATAATATTAGATGGTTATAATATTAGAGTTATGCTCTGGAAACGAATGCTACACGTATTTGAGTGTAAGTAAGGTTTGTTGCCAAGGAAACACAATTTTTTATTTTTTGGAGAAATACCAAAACATGAAAAGGCACCAGTTCAGCATGTGCTGATCCATATGCAAAGATTAGTAATAAAATATTGAACAGTTTCAGGAAACAAAATGTTTGTGGTTAGTAATACCGGGGGGGGGGGGGGGGGGGGCAGGATACACTCACCTTTTCTCAAACACCTGGTATCATCACTATTTGATAGTGATTTAAAAACACATATTTAGAAGCTTGATACATCTATAACGCTATATACTTCATGTCATATCAATAATTAATTGCCATCACAATTACGAGACAAGTTCCGGTTGACACCCTGGAAACCCACTGTTGTATAACCCATTTGCTCTCATCAGGCAGTTCCCGGGGTGTCGGGTTCATCTGATGCTCTCATGGCTGATGGTGATGGGCGTGATGGCTGATACTCAGTTGAGTCAATTAATTAGGACATATACAACTGTGTTTCAACATGGAGCTATCTTACCCGTAGATTTGACAGTGCTAAATAGATGTGGGAACTAAGTGCACAGCTTGGGTGAAGTGATTACAAGCGAGTGTCACAGCGAGAGGCTGATGTTTCAAGGATGTTGGTGACTTGAATTCTGTCATCAAAAAGAGCCCTACCACAAAAAGCCGAACTTATTAACATTCAAAAACGTAGAACTGTGTATGCTAATTTTTCTATTTTGCACACAAAAATATTGACGAGCAGCAACATGAGTTGATTTTGCACAATAAAATCATTTGCGGGGTTGAGGACGAGTTGACAGAGGATTTTAAAAATGATGAGTTAGAAGCCTTGCACATCTTCCCGAGGCAAGAGAGTTAACTGACTTTAAAGTCAAGTTTCCACCCTTCCCGAACTAGGCTGGAATTCCTGGGCTCGATCGTAGCGCCACCAGTGGCTATTACGAGTTATGTCCCTTCTAAGCCTCTCCTATGGACCAATCAGATTCCACCTCTCGTATCACTTGCATTTGCTTCAAACAAAATGGCGACGCCCAGTCAAGACGATTTGATCAATAATCTACGAGGGGTGTTCATTAAAGATTTCCCCTAAACCACTTAGGGTTATCATATTTGGTTGAAATTTCACATGTGTAATGATACATGTATCTATGGGTTATGTCTGAATTTGCAGCACCGAACTATTTATCTTACCACTTTTACAGGTGTTATGACCGAGTAGGGTGTGACAATGGAGCCAGTAGAATACCGAGCAGTGATTAGGTTTTTATATTTGAAAGGTCGCACAATAAAAGAAACTTTCGATGAAATGAAAGCAACTTATGAGGAAGATGCCCCATCATATGACGTTGTTAAACACTGGCATCTCCAGTTCAAGTGTGGTCGGACATCTGTGGAAACAGCTGCCATTCCTGGTCGCCCCCATTCAGCCATTGATGAGGACACTATCCATCAAGTGGAGACCACCATTTTGGCAGACCGACGTAGAACTGTTCGCAAGTTAGCACAAGATGTCAAGATCAGTGTAGGGTCTGTGGAAAAAACCATCCATGACAATTTGAACATGCATAAGGTGTCTGCACGATGGATTCCCAGGTTGCTCACACCTTTCCAAAAGCAGGAACGAGTCAACTGCTCAAAAGATCTTTTGGACATGTGCCAAAAAAAACAGGCAAACCTTTTTGACAGACTTATCACACAGGATGAAACATGGGTCCATCACTATGATCCTGAGACTTAAGTTCAGTCGATGCAATGATAGGATGTGGAGTCACCACCCCCAAAGAAGGCACGTGTCCAACTCTCTGCAGGCAAGGTCATGCTCACGATGTTTTGGAACCAGCACGGTGTAGTGATGATGGATTTCTTGGCAAAGGGTACCACAATTACAGGAGCTTATTATGCTTCACTGCTGCGGAAATTGCGGGACGCTATCAAGCTTAAGAGGCGTGGCATGCTGACCAAGGGTGTCCGTCTCCTGCAAGATAATGCTCCAGTACACAACTCTCATGTTGCCCAGACAGAAGCGCGGTCCTGTGGCTATGAAATCCTTCCACATCGTCCTTACTCTCCTGACCTTGCACCATCTGACTTCCACCTCTTTCCAACCATGAAGTCATTTTTTAAAGAAAACGTTTCACAGATGATGAAACACTGATTTCTGAAGTCAAGTCCTGGTTTGAGACGCAAAATGAGGGCTTTTACAAGCGAGGTCTCCATAGTTGCATAAAACGAAGCAAGTGTGTAACTCTTGGTGGTTCCTATGTGGAGAAAGACTAATACCTATGCCAAGTTTCATTCCAAGTGGGTCAGGGGAAATCTTTAATGAACACCCCTCGTAAGATCTATATTGTAATATAACGGGTCTTACATCAAATCATGTGAGCACCTTGATTAAAAACATGAAAAGATTTGGAAAATATCAGTTGACTACGAGTTCGCGGTGCACATACTTTGTAAACCTTGCAATCGACCGAAATCTGCATGACAGTTTACGAACCGGATTCAGATTTTGTTGCACAATTTTGATTGAACTATGCATAGACTCGTAAGTCCAGCCAAAATGTAACTCCATAATACCAGCCTGGTTCGACATTGGTGGTAACTGAACTTTTAAAGTCAGTTAACGCTCTTGCCTCGGGAAGCCTTGCATTGCATATCGTTCTTTTCTGTATGAACATATGAACACACAACTCACAAACCTAATCTAGGGGTTCAGAAACTGAAACGGAAAAAGAAGAGGGCAAACTTTGTAAATCATAACTGCTCAGTATTATTATCTGCCTCACAGTGAACATGGTGAAATATGCTTCACTGAGGCCTATCAAAAACCTAAGTTTGGTTCCTATTATGTAGAAAAATAAAAGAGGGTACGTAGGTTGGAAAATTATTTTAGTTTTTAAAATATTCACATGGCATATTATCACTTAAAGTCTCTTGTTGCATGGATGACAACAAAAACATGTTTCACCATCATGTTAAATTTACAATCAATCTTTAAATAGGGTTAAAAGAATTTAATGAAACACGTTGAAATCATATTGTCAGCACTGAACAAAATGATGAAAATCATTAAGATAGGGTCGGGAGATTGTCTTATTTAATAAATCTTAGTAAAATTAGGTAGGATAGGGAGTAGTGTAAGTCCAACCTCATTAACATAATATCTTAGTTCTCCCTACCGCTAAACAAAGATCTGAGGACATCCCATTGCGGGTCATGTCAGAACGACCTTTCATCTGACCAATCAGAGCATCGCTTATCAGATCATAAAAGTTACGGTTGGAATGTGATTTTTGATCGTGTAACCTTGAAAAAAACACACACTGGGTATTCGGAACAACAGTTATGGCTTTATGTCTGTATTCATACAATCAATATTAGCCATTACTGAATGTTCTTTTGTTCAGTTTTTAATTTTTAATCGCGTGTATGTCAAAATCTGTTTCGAAGCGTAGTCGCAAGTTTGAAACTCGTGCCGTAAAGCTCAATTAAGCTGCCTTCTGATTGGCTATTGTCGACTTCTTGTTAGTCATTCCATTGATCAGTCAAAGTTCGCGAAAGGTCGGTCTGACGTGACCCTTAGTGGGATGTCCTCAGATCTTTGCTTAGCGGTAGCAAGAACTAAGATCTGATTTTAATGAGATTGTGTGTAAGCCAAGTCGGGTAACAAGAACTACGCATATGTTTTGGATATGCCTGATTCGAATATCAAATTCTTCTTCTTGTTGGCACACTTAAATTCATAAGGGCACATTTCTGAAAATCAGATCTTAGTTGCCGCTACCGCTAAACGAAGATCTGATTTTCATGAGATTGTGTGTAAGCCAAGTCGGGTAACAAGAACTACGCATATGTTTTGGATATGCCTGATTCGAATATCAAATTCTTCTTCTTGTTGGCACACTTAAATTCATAAGGGCACATTTCTGAAAATCAGATCTTAGTTGCCGCTACCGCTAAACGAAGATCTGATTTTCATGAGATTGTGTGTAAGTCCGGTCGGGTAACAAGAACCAAGCATATGTTTTGGATATGCCTGATTCGAATATCAAATTCTTCTTCTTGTTGGCACACTTAAATTCTAAAGGGCACAGCTGAACATGTTGATGAGTGCTCCCTGGTCACTTGAAAACAAAAACATTTCTATCCCTGTAATATGACATTAAACACCCATGTTTCACAACTGGCTCCTATGTTTTTACGATCAGGAGCCACTTGGCTCCTTTGAAGAAAACCAACATGGAGCCTTGTGTCAGGTTGAAGCTACAAAAACTAACAATAAGCCAAGCTTTTGACAGCTCAGAAACACCAGCAAATATTGATGTTTTAAAAACTAAAACATAAAGAGTTATCTCCCTTGAATCACTGACTAGAGCCACAGGAAGGGAAGCAAACAGATGGATGGTCAAGATTCATTTATCTTATCCTTACTTAGTACTCCAACTTCTAAAAGCTTCTCAAAGAAGTAATTGAGGCTTGTTTTGAGGAGTTCAGATTTAGCATGTATGTATGTGTATTCTACCTAGAGCAGTAGGGGTCTACCAAAACAGTAAATATAAAGACAATCGATACAGAACTAAACATGAATCGATACTTAGATAGGTGTATCATGTATCGTATCATCAGCAATGGCGGATCCAATTGGATTGGTCCAAAATATCAAAATCCTCTTCAATCAGTTTTACTACCTTCAACATCGTACCACTACATTGGGTTTTGTTTTCAAACAGGGGGTCCCAGATCCTCCCTCTGCATCCGCCTATGTTCAGCCGTAAATTTGCGATGCATCATCAAATCATACAATTAGGAGAATTAAAATTAAAGTACAATGGACATGAATTGGTTACCATGACAACAGTGATGACGACAGATAAATTGAACATACCGGCTTGTACTTGGATCTGTAGCCTTTCCCTTCTAAATGACGATCCCAATCTTCGATCTTTTGTTTCCTCTTCTCTTCTTCTTTCTGTCAAAGGGAATCAGTGAGTGAGTGAGTGAGTGAGTGAGTGAGTGAGTGAGTGAGTGAGTGAGTGGGGGTGAAGTGAGGAGAAATGGGGTTTACCGCCACGTGCAACATTATTGCACTTGTGTAATGACGTGAATGTATGTATACGGGTGTGGCTGATTGTAGTGAGTGAGTGAGTATGGTTTTACGCCGCTTTTAGCAATATTCCAGCAATATCATGGCTGGGGACACCAGAAATGGGCTTCACACATTGTACCCATGTCGGGAATCAAACCCGGGTCTTCGGCGTGACGAGCGAACGCTTTAACCACTAGGCTACCCGACCGACCCGTGGCTGATTGCACTTGTTCAGACTTTATTGTGCTAGTCCACTCACATACCATGCTGCAGCTCAACACGAATATCCCACTCAGGCAAAGAATACTGCCAGGCAGGGTAACAACAAGTAACATTTTTAAACATTTTTTTGGTATGATCAGCCCCACTGTATTCCGTGGCCACGGAATATTTTGCAGAAAGGCCCACTCAGTGCAGACCTTTTGGGGTCTGACCTTTTATGATAAACAGTCGTGCCTCGTTTATACGGACACTTGCGTCATTTCACAATTCGTTCGTATAAACGAATTTCCGTATAACTGAAACCAGCTTCTTACTGGAAGAGTTACTTTCTCTATTCTCTACCATGCATCTTCCAGCTTCTGGTGTTTTGCTACACGGGATCCTGATAAGTCATTTGAATTATCCGGGGAGATTTAGCCACTTCTGTTTGTCTTTTAAAATGTCACCAATTGTCGATTTTCCTCTGGTATGTCCAAATTCAGTGCCATAAGGCTTACTGATGGTTTCCAAACTTGCTGATGGGTGTTATTCCTTAAAACAGACAAATTTCCCTTTTTTCGCGTGCTGTAACTGAGTGTCGCTTATGTTTTGCTGGTTGACAGGCCATACTCACATGACCTCTGACCTCCACAGACGCCATATATATCGAATGGGATTACATGTACAATAAACAAGCTCGTCTCAAACGTAACTCAGTGTCACTTGGTTAATTGACTTCTCACGAAAAAAAGGGTTACCACCAGCGGAAGGATTACCACAGGCGGAAGTGTATTGTCCGGGTAAGTGAGACAATTTTGTGTGCATTTCAGTGTTTTGTGTATGAAAATGACCATCTGGTTCCGGACACTGAATTTCTGTATATACGGGTAAATTTATATAGTAATTATTTCGTTATGAATGAAAATCGTCCAGGAACCGAGGTTTCCGGATATCTGAAGTCCGTATAAGCGGGGCATGACTGTATACTCAAAGGCAAAAGAAATGTTCAACCAGAGACTGAAAACAAGAGCAGCCATCAACTCCATCTTCATTCATGAAATAAGTTGAAACAAAGTACTGGAGCTATTGTCCCCGGTATCCCATGGGTGTGCACCAAGCCCCTACCTTTCTCTGCTTCTCTGTATATTCTTCTGCCTGTGCATCGAGCTGTTCCTGCATGCGCTGGCGGGATCGCTCCATGGCCTCCAGGCGGCTCTGTGTTGCACCTACATCTGGAGCAAGCAATGAGTTCAACAGTTTTACCACAGACATTCAAGTAGTTTCGAAATAACTACCTGCCTGACTCCCGATGGCTGGTAACTTTTCTGTCAGGATGCATGACATTTTCTTCAGCAAAATATTTTTCAGAGCGTAGTCAGGAATTACTGTAGCCACTTTGAAACTAATGTCATAAAGATCGAGAATGCTCCTTATTTGTCCTGTTATCAATGAAATACAAATCACCTTTGCAAAACAAATATATTCAAATCAAAATATACATTCTGGAGTAATCACAAACTGAATTTGGAAATTTTTAATTCTAATTTCGAAAATTTCAGAACACTTGATCTAGGCCTGTAGTTGAATATTGGCCTATGAGAACAAATCTCTGCTTACCATATTTCTTGTAGCTCTCTTCCTCTCGAGACTTCTGCATCTTGTCCCATGTGGCCTGGAACTTGTTCCGCAGGTACAGGAGGAGCAGAACAGCAGCAAGCAGGAACCAGCCATAGCTTTGTATTAGCTCGACACCTGCAACACATGCCCACAGAGATCAGTCTAGGTTGTAGGGGTGATACACAACAACAAGGGCACGATCCACACTCCGGCGCACTGGTGACTCAGCATAACACCACTGCCACAGGCTAATTTGCATATCACGTGACCGGACTTTTCTCTTGTTTGTAAACAAACGCCCTTTTTTCAGAAATCAGTATAGAACGGACTAATGCAAGTATTTGGGGGCGCTTTACATATTGTTTTGCATAACTATATAGATATGCTACTACAATTGCGACAGTGAGTTGCATGACAATATATATTTATGCATCAAAGTGACCGTGTCGCTAGCTCTCCGTTGGGCTTCGATGACAGCACGTGGAGCCGTACAACCAATGTAAACATAGGATAACTACACAAAAACAAGTAGATTTTTACGTATTTGCATACTTTCTCAATGAAAGTTAACCATTATTTGACATTTGTTTCTGAAAATGTGTAGACTTGTCAAACATGAAACGGATGAAAAGCATATGCAATATCTTGAATGGACTGTGAAAGATGTGACGAATCGTCACATGGCGCTGGCCTGTGGCAGAGGTACTATGCTAGCTGGCTGCCGGCCGCATGGAACTCTGGGTAGGAGAGTGGGCACGAGCATCTTCCCAAGGCAAGAGCGTTAACTGACTTTACAAGTCCAGTTTCCACCCTTGCCGAACTAGGCTGGAATTCCTGGGCTCGATCGTAGCGCCACCAGTGGCTATTACAAGTTATGTCCATTCTATGCCTCTCCCATATGTACCAATCAGATTCCACCTCTCGTATCACATGCATTTGTTTCAAACAAAATGGTGGTGCCTAGTCAAGACGATCTGATCGACCATCAAGATCTATTTTGTGATAAAACGGTTCTTACTTCGCGAAGTGCATCAAATCACGTGAGCACCTTGATTAAAAACATGAAAAGATTTGGAACATATCTTTTGACAACGAGTTGGCCATGCACATGCTTTGCAAATCCTGCAATCGACCAAACTCTGCATTACAGTTTACGAACCGAATTTCAATTTCGGTGCGTGATTTTGATTGGACTATGCATAGACTTGTTAGTCCAGCCAAAATGTAACTCCATAATCCCAGCCTAGTTCGGCAAGGGTGGAAACTGGACTTTTATAGTCAGTTAACTCTCTTGCCTCGGGAAGATAGGGCACGATATGATACGTGTCTCGATACATAGGTCACAATGGGATATATGCATTGTGAATCACATATTCACTTCAAACCATGTGGAAACATCTTCACTATAAATATTCCAAAGGGCAGGTTCCAAAGATATAGCTGTAGACCCATGTTCGTAGTGGCTATTTTTAGCAGTGAAATTGAAATGTTAATTACTATTATTCTTTTACGGACAAAAACGCTGGGGAGGGGGTGCAGTAGTATATAGTAGTAAGTTAGATATTTTTGCAAGTGTATCGTCTTCTATTGATTCAAAAAATTGTGTTTCGGGTATTGATCATTTTTATGTAAACTCACACATTTTTGATGCACTTACATACTGAAAATAAGGACAGATTGTCATATTTTTGGATAGCCCTCCCCATGTACTTGTAACGTAAGATCATAGGTTTTCGGACATCATATATTTCAGATGGCCATGTTTATCGCGATTGCTCGCACTATTACGGGAGGTTAGAATCACACAGACATTGAAAATACTCAGATGATGGCTTGTTTTGAAGAGAAAATTGGGTTTTAGAAGTGAATGAAATGTTTTACAGTTGTTCATGTGATTAGAGAGAAAACTAAACATCTTTCCTCAGTGTATGAAACTCATAACACACGGATACATTTTCTTCATGACCCACCCTGAAAAGCCAAAATAAAAAACACTTTTATTTAAATGTCCGTTTTTTCATGAATCTCCCCAAATGCGTGTATTATTTTTTTATGACCCTCCCCTAGAAACTAGCATATTTTTGGGTGACCCTCCCCTGATTACCTCTGAACTACCCACCCCTATAATAAATGACCGGTCCCTTAATTAATTGGCTAAACAAAATACCTGTAGAAAACACGGTGGTGACTAAAGCTGGGTATTCATTCCTCAAAACCTCTGGCTGTGGACTCTCTTCACCGCCAGCATCTCCCATGGTGCTTGGCCGTGGTTCACAACAGCGCAGTCGATACTGAACACCTTGTAATACGTGTTCTATTACATCAACTAACGAAAATACGAATCATCAAAACAAAACACGGCACGTCACAGGAAGTTGACACAAACACACCTCATTTCAAGAGACGCCTAAAGGGAAGTAACTCGAAATCAAACTTTCTCATTTTGGTCGAGTGAAAATATAAATCGGAAAAAAACATGACATGGTTAGCCAAATGCATGAATAGTTCTTGATAAGTGAATTAATAAAAATCGACAAGTATCGTCGGATCATAATTTTTCGGATATCATACGTTATCGGACGGCCATGTTTATCGCGATTATGCGCGCTATTACAAGGGGTGTGGCGTCACTTGGACATTGTAAATTTATACCCAGATGATGGCTCGTGTTTAAGAGAAAGTTGGGTTTTATAAGTGAGTGAGATGTTTTACAGTTGTTCTTGTGATTAGCGAGTAAACCACGAATGTTTCTTAAGCGTCCGAAAGCCCATAACACGGGGATATAACAGGCGTAGGCCTATTAAAGTTAGAAATAAACATGTTTTGAAGAGAGATACGTTTACTATGGCCACTGCGTGTTCAAAAGCCCGAAATATTCCACGAGAACCTTGTTTATGTTGGAACCACATTAATAAATGAATAACTGGCGGAATAGAGTCGAATTTAGGTCAAAGGTTGAAGGTGTGCCAAATACCACAATAATAAAGCTACATGCAAACAAACGTTCGCCTTCATATGAACCCAGAGAAAAACTAGTCAATCTGCTCGTAACCGTTTTTTCTTTTTTCTTATACTGAACAGCAAAAGAAATGCTCCAAATGTTTTCAATTTTTTATAAGTTCAACCATATTTCATATTGTTTGAATTGATTGGAAAATTGCTTGACAACGGTATAAGGATCTATACCGAAACGTCGTTTTTTACAGTATTAAAGAAGTTGTTATCCATAAAATTGTGTCTATCTTGTGTCTATCTTGATTGGAAAATGTTGAAATGACGACAGATGAATTGATGCCAAGCAATATGGCGCTCAACAAAAAACAAAAAAACATCGATTTTGCACATGGAGTCATGATCCGGAATAAAAGGGTGTGAATTTTCAGTCTAAAGTATCTTATAAAAGTGGATGTAAAAAGCCGATTCAATATTCACACGAACACCGGTTCAATATTCAAACAAAAACCGGTTCAATACTCAAACAAACACCGGTTCAATATATTTACACAAACACCGGTTCAATATTCACACAAACACCGATTCAATATTCAAACAAGCACCGGTTCAATATTCACACAAACTGCGGTTCAATATTCACACAAACACCGATTCAATAATATTCAACGAGCACCGATTTATTATTCACGCAAACACTGGTTCAATATTCACACAAACGACGATTCAATAAAATTCAAACATGCACCGATTTATTATTCACGCAAACACTGGTCCAATATTCAAACAAACACCGGTTCAATATTCACACAAACACCGGTTCAATATTTAAACAAACACCGGTTCAATATTCACAAAAACACCGGTTCAATATTCACACAAACACCGGTTCAATATTCACACAAACACCGATTCAATATTCAAACTAGCACCGATTCAATATTCAAACTAGCACCGATTTAATATTCACACAAACTGCGGTTCAATATACCCAGCTAACAATTTCACGTTGTGACAACGTCGTGACAACGTTGTGTTTACGTTGTGGCAACGTTGCGGATGTTACGTCCATATAACGTTATTCTGTGGACTCCCATTTATGTTGTCACAACGTCATGGCCTAACGTTGTGTTACGTCATATTCACGTCGTCACAACGTTGTGATGACGTTGTATTTTACGTTGTGGGAACGTTGTGATAACGTTGTGTTTACGTTGTGGTAACGTTGCGGATGTTACGTCCATATAACGTTATTCTGTGGAACGAACACCGGTTCAATATTCAAACAAAAACCGGTTCAATACTCAAACAAACACCGGTTCAATATATTTACACAAACACCGGTTCAATATTCACACAAACACCGATTCAATATTCAAACAAGCACCGGTTCAATATTCACACAAACTGCGGTTCAATATTCACACAAACACCGATTCAATAATATTCAACGAGCACCGATTTATTATTCACGCAAACACTGGTTCAATATTCACACAAACGACGATTCAATAAAATTCAAACATGCACCGATTTATTATTCACGCAAACACTGGTCCAATATTCAAACAAACACCGGTTCAATATTCACACAAACACCGGTTCAATATTTAAACAAACACCGGTTCAATATTCACAAAAACACCGGTTCAATATTCACACAAACACCGGTTCAATATTCACACAAACACCGATTCAATATTCAAACTAGCACCGATTTAATATTCACACAAACTGCGGTTCAATATATACACACAAACACCGATTCAATAATATTCAAACGAGCACCGATTTATTATTCACGCAAACACTGGTTCAATATTCACACAAACACCGATTCAATAATATTCAAACATGCACCGATTTATTTTTCACGCACACACTGGTCCAATATTCAAACAAATACCGGTTCAATATTCACACAAACACCGGTTCAATATTTAAACAAACACCGGTTCAATATTTAAACAAACACCGGTTCAATATTCACAAAAACACCGGTTCAATATTTAAACAAACACCGGTTCAATATTTAAACAAACACCGGTTCAATATTCACAAAAACACCGGTTCAATATTCACACAAACACCGATTCAATAATATTCAAACATGCACCGATTTATTTTTCACGCACACACTGGTCCAATATTCAAACAAACACCGGTTCAATATTCAAACAAACACCGGTTCAATATTTAAACAAACACCGGTTCAATATTTAAACAAACACCGGTTCAATATTCACAAAAACACCGGTTCAATATTCACACAAACACCGGTTCAATATTCACACAAACACCGGTTCAATATTAACACTAAATTTAAAGGTCCACAGATGAAGTCAACGATGCCAGACTGCCGCCTGTAAGGGTACAAAGTGTAATGGCCCTTGGAATACTGCAACTGCTTGAGCCAGACAGTTACGATGTCATTATCCGCACCACGATCACAAGACTTGCCCCGCGTCACATGCAAATAAGGTGGGTTGCTGATCGACCACGTTCTGGCCGACCCAGAGGTACAATACTAACAACAAGATCGCTTTATAGGTTACTCACTGACCCTGCTCTTTTAACAGTATTCCAGTTATATCACGGCGTGTCAGCTTAATGCGGGAGGAAAGCCCGAAGTGATGCAGGTCTTGGACGTTTACCACTTCAGTGAAACCCACGAGCACGGGTATGGTGCTGACAAACCTAGAAACATAATCGGGGCAAACCGGGATTCGAACACACATGTTTAGGTTTCTGGCGTGCCCAATTGCAAGGGACGCAACTCTGCACAGCAAATCGCGGCGCCTTAGACGACTGGGACACCCGTGCCCCCAGAGAGGTATGAAGACAGACATAGCAACGCTGCCACATTTGTTGAACTATATAGCTATCTCAACCCTACATTAATGCAGAGGAAGACGCACGATAAGATTTGTTTTGTTTGTCGTTATGAGACCTGTAAAAGGCGGCAATATGCTTGTCGTAAGAGGCAACCAACGGGATCGGGTGGAATATTGCTGAGTGCGGCGTTAAACAACAAACCAACCAAACAACAACTAAAACCTTATGATGACGGCACTCTATTCTATTGCCAGGAATTCACTATCCATTCTGAAGGTGCAAGTAAAACTGACGCAAATATGGGTCATTATGCCAAATTATAGAAAATGTATCAACTATAGCATGGATTAAGTCAGAGAAATCACTCGAACATGTTGAAGTCTCAGGTCAGCTTGAACAACAGTTGAGGTCAGTCACAGAGAGTTGGGACCCGTGAAGATACGGGGTAGAATAGGTCTTCAGCAACCCATGCTTGCCGTAAAAGGTGACTATGCTTGTCGTAAAAGGCGACTAACGGGATCGGGTAGTCAGGCTCGCTGACTTGGTTGATGCATGTCATCGATCCCAATTGCGTGGATGGATGCTCATGATGTCAATCACTGGATTGTCTGGTCCAGACTCGATGCTTTACAGACCGCCGTCATATAGCTGGAATATTGCTGAGTGCGGCGTATACAAAGAAAACTAAGCCAAGAAAAGATACCTTCTTGATTCGGTCACTGTGTCTTTGCAAACGAACTGATTTGTTAACAGTACTTATTTGCTTATATTCCTGTCTATAAGATAGCTATGCGATAAATCACAAAAATACCAATGAAGAACGATGTGTGGTAAAACATTGTCCAATCATGACGTCATTTCTGGAGATTCGACCATGCGCTCGCAACTTCAGATGGGGGCCTCCAGTGAGTTGTTCCCCGTAGATGTAGCTGGGCAACGTAGATAAACACAATTGCCGAACGCTCGCATCCAAAAGTCGGAGAGATATGACAGTCGTTATTGGGAGAAAAGGTACAGGTATGTGACGTGCAAGTTATAAGAATATGCGGGAAAGGCCAAATCACTATAACCCCCCTGTTCATAAAATGGACTTGTCCGATATTGCCGATTTCGGATTCTATTCAGGGAGTCATACATCATTATCTATATACGGCTAAATAATTATAAAGCTTGAACATTTTATGAACATCCTTAAAGAGGCGGTACATAAGATTGATATTTCATATAACAAATAAATGACTCGTGGTCGTGGTTTATAGTACAATTATATAAGACACTGCAGGGTGAATAAACCGCTCGGAGTCCGGACAAGTACAAGCAGCCACACACAAACACACACACACACACACACACACACACACACACACACACGTGCATGCACGTCGCTATTTAAGTGCAATAATCTTGGACGCGACGTTAAACACCATTTCACCTCACCTCCTGTAGATGTGTTATAGACCTCGCTCTAACGTTGCTCCCAGGGTTACCTATCGCTCGAGCCGGTCGACCGAGCGACGAAACAGAAAGCAGTTAGGACATAACCTGGGACGATGCCTTATACGTTGCCTGTAACACCAGCCAGGCTTTATTATGATTGACGAAGTCCGTCGAAGGTTGACCAAATTTTCACATTTGTATTAAACACCATATACCTATGTCTACAATCAACAGTAGAGTTAAATCCATCTTCCCGAGTCAAGGGAGTTAATTATCCAGTTTGAATATGACTTTTATAGGGGGCACGGGTGGCCCAGTCCTCCAAGGCGCCGCGATTCGCCGTTCAGAGTTGTGTCCCTTGGGCACGCCAGAAACCTATGCTAGTGGGTTCGAATCCCGGTTTGCCCCGATTATGTTTCTAGGTTTGTCAGCACCATACCCGTGCTCGTGGGTTTCACCGAAGTGGTAAACGTCCAAGACCTGCATCACTTCGGGCTTTCCTTCCACAATAAGCTGACACGCCGTGATATAACTGGAATAATGTTAAAAGCGGCGTTAAACCCCACTCACTCACTCACTGACTTTTATAGTCAGTTAACTCCATTGCTTGCTTGGGGAAGATGAGTGAGTGAGTGAGTTTCGTTTTACGCCGCTTTTAGCAATATTCCAGCAATATCACGGCGGGGGACACCAGAAATGGGCTTCACACATTGTACCCATGTCGGGATTCGAACCCGGGTCTTCGGCGTGACGAGCGAACGCTTTAACCACTAGGCTTCGGGAAGATGAGGTACATCGATCATTCGTTACTATTTTGCGCCTGCTGTAACGGATGTTTATGATACCATGAAAGGTGAATATTTTTTAAAAATATTTGATATGTTAGTGTGATATAGGTAAACCGGTTCAAAGTTAAATGTAAATAACTTAGTTTCCTATGGTGACGAAAGTGAGGAGGATATCCGGTCGGATTGCATTAGCATACGGTCTCACGTACAACGTGTAATCCCTGTAGCACACACCTGTCATCGTGCACCGTCATCGTGTGTTGGGGTTGACGTTAGGGGTGGTGTAGAGTGAGTGAGTGAGTGAGTGAGTATGGTTTTACGCCGCTTTTAGCAATATTCCAGCAATATCACGGCGGGGGACACCAGAAATGGGCTTCACACATTGTACCCATGTCGGGAATCGAACCCGGGTCTTCGGCTTGACGAGCGAACGCTTTAACCACTAGGCTACCCGACCGCCCAGGGGTAGGGTAGACATAGAGGTACGGGGTTAGTGGTAGAGGTAAATGTGGAAGTAGGAGATGTTTGTTTGTTTGTTTTTTAACGCAGCACTTAGCAATATTCCAACTATATGACGGCGGTATGTAAATAATCGTGTCTGGACCAGACAATCCAGTGATTGACATCATGACCATCGATGCACGCAATTGAGATGCGATGACATGCATCAACCAAGTCAGCGAGCCTGAAGACACGATCCCGTCAGTCGCCTCTTAAGACAAACATCGATTATTTACAGACCGCCGTCATACAGCTGGAATATACCTGGGTGTGCCGTTAAATAACACACACACAACCAAACATCTTGTCACCACATGGGGACATGAGTTACAACACGTTGCCCCAATCGGGTGGAAGGCTCTCTGCATCGTTGAAAGCGTTACCTCGTTTCCCTACAGCATGGTCAGGTATCTATAAAACCATCTACTGGATTATCTGGTCCAGATTTAATGACAAAAGACCACCATGATATAGATATCTATAGCTGAGTAAAGCGTCAATCAATAAACAAATACGTTCGAAAACTGAGTACCATATGTGTAAAACAGTGATTAATGCTATATGTGCAATAGTCAGAATTAGTTGGAATTGGTCTTCAACATCCCATGCCTTTCGTAGGAGGCGACTACCGGGATCAGGTGGTCATGCTCGGCGATGCATGTTATCGTATCCCAAATGCGTGGATCGATGCCCATGGTGCCAATCACTGGATTGTCTGGATCAGACTGTATTATTTGCAGATCGCCGTCATATATCTGGATTTTTCCCGAGTGCGGCGTTAAACAACAACATATACAATAACCAAATTATATCAGAACCAGTCTGTGCTTATAGCATATTTCCAGGGATTCCAACAATCGTTCAGAAAAGGACATTTGAAAAGTACAATAAAGTCATTCCTAAATTTATGAAACTTTATTTTCTTTACAAATCGTATATATACAGAAAAATATATTTTAACAAAAAATATCATATTGTTTTATTAATTGTTGAATTTCGAATATACTGAAGGTGCAATGCCGAAAACTCGCTTCAGTATAGAATGTTCCATCATCAAAGAATCACGTGATGATGCGGGAAATAATTATAATTAGTCTTCAGCAACCAATGCCTGTCGTAAGAGGCGACTAATTAGATCGGGTGGTCAGGCTAGCTGAGTTAGTTGATGCATGTCATCGTACCTTAATTAAGTAGATCGGTGCTCATGATCGCAATCACTGGATTGTCTGGTCATGATTCGATTATTTACAGACCGCCGTCGTGAAGCTGGAATATTGCTGAGTGCGGCGTTAAACAACAAAAGAAAAACAAACATGATCAAAAAGTCAACGTCCGTTAATCTAGCAACATCTGGGCACTTTCCTTTCACATATGAAGTTTATCGCTACATCACAACGATAATCATTCCAGAGATAATCGTATAATTGTTTGTACCCCAGACAGTTCTCTGTTTTTTTATTAGGTTCATCAGAGTGCCAGTTGGTGTAGTTTAAGGTATCGCCAACCTCCCACACAAACGTCCGCTCCGTGATGAGATCAGTGGCACCCAACCAGTAGTCTGGGGCTGGAGAGAGAAAGTACTATTTCTACTGTTGCAGTTTGACACCATGTGATATGCACACTTCTGATCCAAATGGAAAAGAACAAAAGCCTTCACAAAAAGTTAATGAACTCTTGCTCACAAAGAGTGACCGCCCGTGAAGATCAGGGGTAACATTGATCTTCAGTAACCCATGTTTTCGTAAGAGGCCACCAACGGGATTGGTTGGTCAGGCTCGCTGACTTGGTTGATGCGTGTCATCGTGTCCCAATTTCGTGGATCGATGCTCATGATATCAATCACATATGTCTGGTCCAGACTCGATTATTTACAGACCGCCGCCATGTAGCTGGAATATTGTTGAGTGCGACGTTAAACAACAAACCAACCAACCAACCAAAGTGTTGGCCTAAGTGAGTAAAGGCTTATGACGAATAGCACTAGGAGGCAACTCAGGAGAATTGTGCTGCTCCAGATAAGTCTAGGACTATTACTGATATCTCAATGTGGGAATGCAATGAGTGTTGCCCTTGAGGATCATCGGCTTACGAGGAATTTCACAAGGTGGCAACTAAGAGGAGGAGTATTGCCCTGGGTGAGTATAGGGTTACGAGGAATAACACAAGGTGGCAACTAAGAGGAGGAGTTTTGCCCTGAGTGAGTATAGGCTTACGAGGAATAACACAAGGTGGCAACTAAGAGGAGGAGTGTAGCCCTGAGTGAGTACAGGCTTTGGAGGAATAACACAAGGTGGCAACTAAGAGGAGGGGTTGCCCTGGGTGAGTATAGGCTTTGGAGGAATAACACAAGGTGGCAACTAAGAGGAGGAGTGTTGCCCTGGGTGAGTATAGGCTTTTGGAGGAATAACACTAAGAGGAGTGTTGCCCTAGGTGAGTATAGGCTTTGTAGGAATAGCACAAGGTGGCAACTAAGAGGAGGAGTGTTGCCCTGAGTGAGTATAGGCTTTGTAGGAATAACACAAGGTGGCAACTAAGAGGAGGAGGGTTGCCCTGGGTGAGTATAGGCTTTGGAGGAATAACACAAGGTGGCAACTAAGAGGAGGAGTGTTGCCCTGGGTGAGTATAGGCTTTGTAGGAATAACACAAGGTGGCAACTAAGAGGAGGAGTGTTGCCCTGGGTGAGTATAGGCTTTGTAGGAATAACACAAGGTGGCAACTAAGAGGAGGAGTGTTGCCCTGGGTGAGTATAGGCTTTGTAGGAATAACACAAGGTGGCAACTAAGAGGAGGACTGTTGCCCTGGGTGAGTGTAGGCTTTGTAGGAATAACACAAGGTGGGAACTAAGAGGAGGAGTGTTGCCCTGGGTGAGTATAGGCTTTGTAGGAATAACACAATGTGGCAACTAAGAGAAGGAGTGTTGCCCTGAGTGAGTATAGGCTTTGGAGGAATAACACAAGGTGGCAACTAAGAGGAGGAGTGTTGCCCTGGGTGAGTATAGGCTTTGGAGGAATAACACAAGGTGGCAACTAAGAGGAGGAGTGTAGCCCTGAGTGAGTATAGGCTTTGGAGGAATAACACAAGGTGGGAACTAAGAGGAGGAGTGTAGCCCTCAGTGAGTATAGGCTTTGGAGGAATAACACAAGGTGGGAACTAAGAGGAGGAGTGTAGCCCTGAGTGAGTATAGGCTTTGGAGGAATAACACAAGGTGGGAACTAAGAGGAGGAGTGTAGCCCTGGGTGAGTATAGGCTTTGGAGGAATAACACAAGGTGGCAACTTAGAGGAGGGTTGTTGCCCTGGGTGAGTATAGGCTTTGGAGGAATAACACAAGGTGGCAACTAAGAGGAAGAGTGTTGCCCTGAGTGAGTATAGGCTTTGGAGGAATAACACAAGGTGGCAACTAAGAGGAGGAGTGTTGCCCTGAGTGAGTATAGGCTTTGGAGGAATAACACAAGGTGGCAACTAAGAGGAGGAGTGTTGCCCTGAGTGAGTATAGGCTTTGGAGGAATAACACAAGGTGGCAACTAAGAGGAGGAGTGTAGCCCTGGTTGAGTATAGGCTAACGAGGAATAACACAAGGAGGGAACGAAGAGGAGGACTGTTGCCCTGGGTGAGTAAAGGCTTTGGAGGAATAACACAAGGTGGCAACTAAGAGGAGGAGTGTTGCCCTCAGTGAGTATAGGCTTTGGAGGAATAACACAAGGTGGCAACTAAGAGGAGGAGTGTAGCCCTGGGTGAGTATAGGCTTTGGAGGAATAACACAAGGTGGCAACTAAGAGGAGGGGTTGCCCTGGGTGAGTATAGGCTTTGGGTAGGACTAAGATAATGAAGGTTTACATATTGCTTTACAACGCCATTTGAAGATAAATTCACATCTCACCTCTTCCTGTTTCCTTTGCATAGCTTCTGACGAAGTCGTCCTCTTCTTTGCTTGTTATCCTGGCAAGGTGGCTCCGGAAGAACTGACAGTAGCTCTAACAAGAGAGTGAGTGAATGAGTGAGTTGGGATTAACGCCGTTAATATTATTCCTCTAACAAGAGAACATTAGGGCGAACGTATAGAACTCTTCTAACACTATGCAATCAGCTCCAGCCCAATGAGTCTACAATTCACAACTTTTGAGATACAATCGATATCAGCTAACGTCTTTAACCGTGGAACAGACTACAGTGTAACAAGTGTTTAGCATGTAAACACATACAAATACATAAAGCGACAAAACCCTTTCTATATCCAATAGAAATCTCTGCATAAAGCAGAGTCGATTGTACAATTCCGACTGCCTCATGAGCATGTGTATGAGAATCACTATCAACTAGTAATGATACCAGGTGTTCGCGAAAAGGTGAGCGTATCCTGCTATACCGGTGGCACCCGTCACAAACACATGCAAATACAAGTCAATTGGTCACCTGAAACAACACGGTGTTTGTTGGAAGCGGGCCCACAATCGTCTGATGCCAGTGAGAAACATGCAGCGTTTGGGCATCAATACTATGACGTGTGAGTGAGTTGGGTTTAACGCCGCTTTTAACAGTATTACAGTTATATCGCGGCGTGTCAGCTTAATGTGGGAGGAAAGCCCGAAGTGATGCAGGTCTCAGACGTTTACCACTTCGGTGAAACCCACGAGCACGGGTATGGTGCTGACAAACCTAGAAACATAATCGGGGCGAACCGGGATTCGAACCCACAATCATAGGTTTCTGGCATGCCCAAGGGACGCAACTCTGCACAGCGAATCGCGGCGCCTATGACGTGTACCCACCGGAAGCATGCCTAAGGCAGGTGAACGTTCAGCACGTTCCAAACGTCGCATGATCAATGCTGTTGCTTCCTAAATGATTCAATGTGTTTAATAAAGTGTCTTTGAGCGTTTAGTTCTAAAAAAACACAATATGCGTCTGCTTATAACCGATTCAATGGTAAATGTGTCCGTGCTGTCCGAGGTCACGTAATTCATGTCACAATGTTGTTTGGGAGCTTGATTTCTTCGGTAATGTTCTTGCATATCAGTCACTTACTTTCATTGCCAGTTCACCAGTGTCCCCTAGAAAAATATCCCCTACGTTTTTTGCATATGTTATGATCATTATTTTGCATTTTGACGAGTGAACAAGACTTAATGTTGACGTCAACAAGGAACACAAATGCACAGTCCATCACCCCCCCGCCTTATTGTTGTTATGACGTCGACAATATTTTGGTGTGAAGTCAATTTGTTTGGATTAATTAAACCACGAGGATATTTAAACACATCAGAATGATAAACATGTTCAAACTGTGAGCTTATTTAACAATGAGTGAGTGAGTGAGTTGGGTTTAACGCCGCTTTTAACAGTATTCCAGTTATATCACCGCGTGTCAGCTTAATGTGGGAGGAAAGCACGAAGTGATGCAGGTCTCAGATGTTAACCACTTCGTTGAAACCCACAAGCACGGGTATGGTGCTCACAAACCTAGAAACATAATCGGGGCGAACCGGGATTCGAACCCACAATCATAGGTTTCTGGCGTGCCTAAGGGACGCAACTCTGCACAGCGAATCGCGGCGCCTTAGACGACTGGGCCACCCGTGCCCCCTATTTAACAGTGACAATGACGACAACATAACAATGATTTATGACTAGTATAATAGTTGCTAAAAGACGTTGTATGTTACAATCTATATTTTTTATTCCAAATGAACTGACTTGAGTAGGTGATAATGTACCTTTCATTTCTACACGACATGATATTTCAAACTGTATGACAGATTACTCTGTGGACAAGTTCCATAAAAGTTTGATGTCATCGTCATTAGCTTGCCTCATTAAATACAGGTTTAGACATAATTTTCCTGTTCATTGACCTTCAAGGGCTGTCGGGTAGCCTGGTGGTTAAAGCGTTCGCTCGTCACTCCGAAGACCCGGGTTCGATTCCCGACATGGGTACAATGTCAATCTCATTCAAATCAGATCTTAGTTCTCGCTATCGCTAAACAAAGATCTGAGGACATCCCATAACGGGTCACGTCAGAACGACCTTTCATCCGACCAATCAAAGCGTCGCTTTCCAGATCATGAAAGTGACAGCCGGGATGTGTTTTCTTATCATGCAACCTCGAAAAGGTTAACACGGGGTATTCCGAACGATATGTACGGCCCATACGACCGATTCCGTCAAAATTATCGCATGTCTCTCGCTTCCGTGGGATAAACATTTGAACGGAGGAGGCGTTACACAGTGCGTAGGCAACACTGCCATACAATCGCAACCATATAAAGGACATTCCGGAATGTTCGTTTGTTCAGTTTTCAAAATTTTAATCGAGAACTGTGTCAACTTATGTTTCAAGTGTTGTCTGAAATGGATGTCGCCAGGTTGAAACGAGTGCCGTAAAGCTCGAGAAAGCTGCTTTCTTATTGGCTGATGTCGGTCAAACTTCGCGAAAGATCGTTCTGACGTGACCCCTACTGGGATGTCCTCAGATCTTTGTTTAGTGACAGCCAGATCTTAGATCTGAATTTAATGACATGGGTACAATGTGTGAAACCAATTTCTGGCATCCCACGCCGTGATAATGCTGGAATATTGCTAAAAGCGGCGTAAAACAATACTTTCACACGCACTTATTGACCTTCATAATTAGATTGTGGAAAAAGCAGTTCGATTGCCTCTCGAAATTTAATTTGAAGTAGATTTATTGCTTTTTAACTATATTTGCAAAATTGTGTTATCGAATGACGCTATTAAAACTTCATAGACATTGTATACCTGCGGCGGAGGTCACTGCACAATACATATTTTGGTGTTTGTTTGTTTGTTTGTTAAACGCCGCACTCAGCAATGTACCAGTTATTTCACGGCGGTCTGTAAAAAATCGAGTCGAGACAATCCGGTGATTGACATCATGAGCATCGATCAACGGGTCACGAATGCGGAGACGGCTCCAGAATGTACTTAGAGTGATCTCCCGTTCTCAGTACGAACCCAAGCTCCTCACAGCGATAGCCCGTTCGCGGAGCTCTCTATACTATCGCTGCCACCAGTCAAAACTCCCCACTGTGATAGGTGGCCACAACCATGCTTGGAGTTGAACTCACAACCGAATGACCGTTATGTTTACAAACAAGTGACGACTGTCATGACACCGAATACACTTACCGCTGCTTAATTACTTTATTCGTTGGTCACTTTGAATTTCTGTTTCATTAAAACTATCGTGTTATTGATATAGTAAGAATGGAAGGGAGAAGTTGGTTGATTTTCCGTTAGAATGCAATCTCGAACCAATCTGATTATTAAAACAACAAAGTAAATTCCTCTGGAAAACATGGTCAGTCGTAAACCTTTTCAAAATGAATTATCATTTCATTCCCAAAGACATAAACAAAAGTATCAACGTTGCTACATTTGGGGTTAGAGGGTAAATTTCAAGATTCTTGTAATGGCCGCGCCCACACTGGTGGCAGCGATGTTACCGAGAGTGTAACGAAGGTGTCACGCGCTGGGAAGGAGCTTGGTACGAACCACCGATACTCCGGTTTTGGTGTGACTTTTCTTCTGATAAACATCATACATACCCTTGCCTCAGCAAATGATCCCGCTATGTTGGAGAACCAATAGCAGGCTTGTTGGTACTGAACAAATCCAGTGGGACATGGGCATATGCCTGCAGAACAGAGAAGACACAGATGTGATACGCTGTTATTGAAAGCCTTGGTTAAAGAGTGAGTGAGTATGGTTTTACGCCGCTTTTAGCAATATTCCAGCAATATCACGGCGGGGGACACCACAAATGGGCTTCACACATTGTACCCATGTCGGGAATCGAACCCGGGTCTTCGGCGTGACGAGCGAACGCTTTAACCACTAGGCTACCCGACCGCCCCCTTGGTTAAAGAAGGTAACTTGGATTATTATAATTATGTCTTGAAAAGTGTTTTGGTGGTAATGTTTCAAAATAAATCGACCGGCTCCTCGTTTCAGAGAAGAAAGTTCTTGAAGCTGTGACCTTTAATATAGCCTCTGTCTCAGACACTCACCTTATATATTGAACAAGCAAAGTTAGGAATCATGAATATTTGGGGGATGTTTTGCAGTGAAAACTGAGCATACAATTTTATCGAAAAATTATCCCCCAAAATAATCTTGATCCCGTTTTCTGTTCAGTATATTTGGATTATACATAAAATGTAAAGACGTCAGAGGTCAGGCAAGATCTATTGGCGCGATAGAAAAATAAACAAGAGTATGAAATAGTGCAATGAAAACTATTTACCTTCAGCAACAGTCAGGGGTGCAAGTGAGCACAGCAAGACAGACACAAGTTCTAGTCTCATGGTTCGGGTTGACAACGGCAATTTTGTCAACTGAAAGGTATTCAGCGCCGCGTCTGAGTTGGGATACGCAGATGATACTTTTCAGTAGTTCAACAAGGAAGTTGATTGGTTTCATGATATGTGATCAACCAATGAAACAGTCGTATTTGATGAAAGGGAAATGCCGGGTTTCTGTCAGGGCCGCAGAGGGATTGGTTAATGAGAGCACGAGATGAGATGGATTAGACTTGGAAATAACAACGGACGTCAAGGCCGTTATCACAGTGCAGACATGTCCGAGAAATACCATCCTGGTCAACGACTCGTCTTTATATCAGTACTCCATTGGAAGGGGCGGTCGGGTAGCCTAGTGGTTAAAGCGTTCGCTCGTCACGCCGAGGACCCGGGTTCGATTCCCGACATGGGTACAATGTGTGAAGCCCATTTCTGGTGTCCCCCGCCGTGATATTGCTGGAATATTGCTAAAAGCGGCGTAAAACCATACTCACTCACTACTCCATTGGGTGGGGATTATGGATTAATTCCTACAGACCAGGCCCCAAATAACCATCACATGTAAGCATCACTACTTTACTGTAACCGTGAAGAATCGGGGAGACAATAGGTCTTCAGCAACACAAGCTTGCCGTGAATGGCGACTATGCTTGTCGTAAGAGGCGACTAACGGGATCGGGTGGTCAGGCTCGCTGACTTGGTTGATGCATGTCATCGTATCCCAGTGTTAATGATGTCAATAACTGAATTGTCTGGTCCAGACTCGATTATTTACAGTACTAGCTGAATTATTGCTGAGTGCGGCGTTAAACAACAAACAAACAAACTACATTAATTTCTTAATCAAAGAGTGAGTTGGATTTAACACCGCTTTTTACAGTAATCCAGTTACGAGTATATCACGGCGTGTCAGCTTATTGTGGGAGAAAAGCCCGATGTGATGCAGGTCTCAGACGTTTACCACTTCGATGAAACCCACGAGCATAGGGATGGTGCTGACAAACCTAGAAACATAATCGGGGCGAACCGGGATTCGAACCCACAATCACAGGTTTCTGGCGTGGCCAAGGGACGCAACTCTGCACAGCGACTGACGTGTCCCCATCAAATAATACCACATACAAGTTGAGAATCGGAAAAAAACATGATTCTAAAAAAATCAAAAGATCTGATTTAATTGTTGCAATCTCAGCACCAAGTTCAATAATTTCAAAATATTCGACACCAATAACCCACATCACAAACTTAATAGAAAACTTCAATCCTTGATCGATGACATCTTACGTTTGCTGAGAAAAAAGTATGCGAAATTTTGGGATCCCCATGGGCCACCGGTGGGACAGGCTACGCTCACCCCTTCGATACATCTGTATCATCACTAGACCGCCTCCGTGGTCTTGTGGTAAAGCGTCCGCCCGGAGAGCGGAAGGTCCAGGGTTCGATTCCGGGCCGCGTCATACCAAAAGACGTTAAAAGATTGTACTTGTTGTCACCCTGTTTGGCGCTCGGCATTAAGGGGCTAAATCAAGGACTGGTCGTCTCGGAGTCAGCATACTGTGTCTGAGTGGGGTATTCATGTTAAACTGCGGCATGGTATCTCAGTGAGCTAGCACTATAAATCGGCATCAGTCCGGACTAGTACAAGCAGCCACACACACACATACACGTGCATGCACGTCGCTATATAAGTGTAATAATCTTGGACGCGACGTTAAACCCAATTTCACCTCACCTCATCTGTATCATCTGTATCATCACTGTTGATAGTGATTCGTTAACACAAGCTCATGGTATTGTCGGAATCGTATAATGGACTTTTAGTAGAGATTTCTTAAGATTATGGAAATGGGTTTTGTCGTTTTTATTAAGCACTGGGTACCCTGCAACCTATGTTGCTCGTAAGACGCGTCCAAATGGATCATGCTCGCTGAGTTGGTTGATAGGTCTTCAGCAACCCAGGAATGCCGTAAAAGGCGACTATGCTTGTCGTAAAAGGCGACAAACTGGATCCGGTGGTCGGGTCACTGGATTGTCTGGTCCAGAGTCGATTATTTACAGACCGCCGTCATATAGCTGGAACATTGCTGAGTTCGGCGTTAAACAACAAACCAACCAACAGTTATCGTATTCCGACGTCGTGGAGCGTTGCTCATATCAATCACTGGATTGTCTAGTCCAGACTCGAGTATTTACAGTCCAATGGATCATTGCTGAGTGCCGCGTAAATCAACAAACAAAAGTGCATAGGGACAGAGATTCCCAGTCTTTAACAATAGAACTTATCTATATCCCGACAGGAAATGAGTCCTCGATAAAAGGCGCGACTTCCATTCCTATGTCTGTAAACTTCCGCTGCACTATCTAGAGTGACGTCACATGTTTTCGCACACCTGATTGGTGGGTACTTTAGCGGCCTTTGCGTGAAAGAACAGCTGTGTTTCGTGCACAATTCTCAACATATTTCTTGCAGGTTGGCACTAAACCTCCAAAAGTAAGTTTGAAACCTGTTAATAAAATCTTAATGGTTGTCAAGTATTACACATTTTTATCAGAAATGTTCACACTATTCAACTCTTCGTTTTCGCCATGACAGCGACACCGACATATTGAATGATTTGTTTTCACTACTTTAAATGGAGTTCTGACAGGTCATCTTCCCGAGTCAAGGGAGTTAACTGACTGTAAAAGTCCAGTGTCCACCCTTGTCGAACTGGGCTGGAAATTCTAGGCTTGAATGGCTATTACGAGTTATGCAGGTATCAGACGTTTACCACTTCGGTGAAACCCACAAGCACGGGTATGGTGCTGACAAACCTAGAAACATTATTGGGGCGAACCGGTATTCGAACCCACAATCATAGGTTTCTGGCGTGCCCAAGGGACGCAACTCTGCACATTGAATCGCGGCGTATTAGGCCATCCGTGCCCCCGTCAGGAAAATAAGGGAACATTCACCCGCTGAAAGGGTAAGCATAAACTCCGAAACGTTGTGTTCCTCAGAATAAAGAAGGGTCATCCAAGACGGGTGGCCCAGTCGTCTAAGGCGCCGCGATTCGCTGTGCAGTGTTGCGTCCCTTGGGCGAGCCAGAAACCTATGATTGCCCCGACTATGTTTCTAGGTTTGTCAGCACCATACCCGTGCTCGTGGGTTTCACCGAAGGGGTAAACGTCCGAGACCTGCATCACTTCAGGCTTTCCTCCCACATTAAACTGACACGCCGTGATAAAACTGGAATACTGTTAAAAGCGGCGTTAAACACAACTCACTCACTCACTCACACGCGTTGGACGTCCAATCGCCATGTGTTTTGGCTTGTGTTGACTTGTGAGGATGTCACTTCAGTCCTTTTATGAGTGCTTTATTAAATTCTCCACTTTCTTTGGTTTGTCCTGGTTTGGTCAGTGCATGGCCAAACACGTGGATGTAAACAGAATAGTTTGTTTGTTTGTTTAACGCCGCACTCAGCAATATTTCAGCTATATGACGGCGGTCTGTAAATAATCGACTCTGGACCAGACAATCCACTGATTAATATCATGAGCATCGATTCACGCATTTGGGATCGATGACATGCATCAACCAAGTCAGCGAACCTGACCACCCGATCCCGTTACTTACGACACGTATATGGGTTGATGAAGACCTATTCTACACCGGATCTTCACGGGTCCAGTTTATAAGAATATGGTGTGAACATATAATTTATGAACTTCTTTTTGAAAGAATTTTCTGTTTAATACGTTCCGGTTTCATTTTTCCTTTCGTTGCGTCGTATGTTTCCTGGTGAGTTATTGTGTATGAAAGACATGCAACTGTGAAGTGACAGAAGGGGACATGACCACGGTCACGGAACATGAGATATACTTAATTAACTGCAGCCACGCTGACCACAAGTTCTGCAGAGAAGCTATGTCAGTTGGAGCGCTGCAAGTTTACGACATGTCCGTGTCCCTTTATGGTCTTAGATAATATGCTTGTTGGTTGTGTTACACCGCTCTTACCAGTATTCCAGTATATGACGGCGGTCTTTAAATAATCCAGTCTGATTCCAGTACATGACGGCGGTCTTTAAATAATCCAGTCTGATTCCAGTACATGACGGCGGTCTTTAAATAATCCAGTCTGATTCCAGTACATGACGGCGGTCTTTAAATAATCCAGTCTGATTCCATTATATGACGGCGGTCTTTAAATAATCCAGTCTGATTCCAGTATATGACGGCGGTCTTTTTAAATAATCCAGTCTGATTCCAGTATATGACGGCGGTCTTTAAATAATCCAGTCTGATTCCAGTAGATGACGGCGGTCTTTAAATAATCCAGTCTGATTCCAGTACATGACGGCGGTCTTTAAATAATCCAGTCTGATTCCAGTACATGACGGCGATCTTTAAATAATCCAGTCTGATTCCAGTATATTACGGCGTTCCTAAAATAATCCAGTCTGATTCCAGTATATGACGGCGGTCTTTAAATAATCCAGTCTGATTCCAGTACATGACGGCGATCTTTAAATAATCCAGTCTGATTCCAGTACATGACGGCGGTCTTTAAATAATCCAGTCTAAATTCCAGTACATGACGGCGATCTTTAAATAATCCAGTCTGATTCCAGTACATGACGGCGGTCTTTAAATAATCCAGTCTGATTCCAGTATATGACGGCGGTCTTTAAATAATCCAGTCTGATTCCAGTATATGACGGCGGTCTTTAAATAATCCTGGCTAATTCCAGTTCATAACGGCGGTCTTTAAATAATCCAGTCTGATTCAAGTATATGACGGCGGTCTTTAAATAATCCAGTCTGATTCAAGTACATGACGGCGGTCTTTAAATAATCCAGGCTGATTCCAGTATTTGACGGCGGTCTTTAAATAATCCAGTCTGATTCCAGTACATGACGGCGGTCTTTAAATAATTCAGTCTGATTCCAGTATATGACGGCGGTCTTTAAATAATCCAGTCTGATTCCAGTATATGACGGCGGTCTTTAAATAATCCAGTCTGATTCCAGTTCATGACGGCGGTCTTTAAATATTCCAATCTGATTCCAGTATATTACGGCGATCCTAAAATAATCCAGTCTGATTCCAGTACATGACGGCGGTCTTTAAATAATCCAGTCTGATTCAAGTATATGACGGCGGTCTTTAAATAATCCAGTCTGATTCAAGTATATGACGGCGGTCTTTAAATAATCCAGTCTGATTCCAGTAGATGACGGCGGTCTTTAAATAATCCAGTCTGATTCCAGTACATGACGGCGGTCTTTAAATAATTCAGTCTGATTCCAGTATTTGACGGCGGTCTTTAAATAATCCAGTCTGATTCCAGTATATGACGGCGGTCTTTAAATAATCCAGTCTGATTCCAGTTCATGACGGCGGTTTTTAAATAATCCAGTCTGATTCCAGTATATTACGGCGATCCTAAAATAATCCAGTCTGATTCCAGTACATGACGGCGGTCTTTAAATAATCCAGTCTGATTCAAGTATATGACGGCGGTCTTTAAATAATCTAGTCTGATTCCAGTATATGACGGCGGTCTTTAAATAATCCAGTCTGATTCCAGTAGATGACGGCGGTCTTTAAATAATCCAGTCTGATTCCAGTAGATGACGGCGGTCTTTATATAATCCAGTCTGGATCAGGACCCGTGAGGATCCTGTGTAGAATAGGTCTTCAGCAACCTTCAGTTAAAGGCGACTAACGGGATCGAGTGGTCAGGCTCGCTGACTTGGTTGATGCATGTCATAATATGCCAATTGCGTGTATCGTCATATAGCTTGAATATTGCTGAGCGCGGCGTTAATCAACAAACAAACAGTCTGGATCAGACAGTCCGGTGACTAACATCATGAGCATCGATTTGCATTGGGATACGATGATATGCATCAACCAAGTCAGCGAGTCTGACCACCCGATCCTCGTACGATAAGCAGTGTTGATGAAGACCAATTCCCCCCGGATCTTCAGGGGGAATAAAGACAAGTATAAGTGAACGTCGACATGGATCCCAATTAAATCCCTACACGAATCCTACATCTACATGGAAAACTTTGCAATTAAAGGTTGACTATAGCGCAGAGATTATGTGTTATGTAAATTGCTGCAACAGTCTGGATTTGCCCTACTCATAACAGATCGATGCTCATGATACCACTATGCTTGTCGTAAAAGGCGATTAACGGGATCGGGTGGTCAGGCTCGCTGACTTCATTGATGCATGTCATCGATCCCAATTGCGTGGATCGATGCTCATGATATCAATCACTGGATGGTCCGGTCCAGACTCGATTACTTACAGACCGCCGTCATATAGCTGGAATATTGCTGAGTGCGGCGTTAAACAACAAACCAACCAACCTACTCATGATATCAATCACTGGATTGTCTGGTCCAGACTCGATTATTAACAGACCGCCGTCGTATAGCTGGAATATTCCTGTGCGGCGTTAAACAAACAAACAAACAAACAAACAAATACTCATAACAACCCCAAGATATTTACTGGAACAAAAAAAGGAACTCACAATCATGTCTCATAATGTGTCCGAACGTGTTTATTCACATGTTGATATAATATTCCAAGGAAAATCATGAAAAAGAAAAAGAAAAATGTGACCAGGTGATGATGATTACTATTGATATATTGTGTTAATATATCTTAATGTCTCACATTGGGCCTCATGCACACCTTACCCTGATGTTCGGAGAGTAGCGATGGGGAAATCGTCTTCGTTGTAAGTTTGCGCGTCAGACCCGGGTTCGATTCCCCACATGGCACACAATGTGTGAAGCTAATTTCTGGTGTCAGTTGTGATATTGCTGCAATATTGCTAGAAGCGGCGTAAGACCATACTCATTCACTCACTAACAAGTACTCTTAAACAAGTAGCTACTATTAACTATAACTATACTCACTCACTCATTCACTAACAAGTACTCTTAAACAAGTAGCTACAATTAACTATAACTATACTCACTCACCCACTCTCTAACAAGTACTTTTAAACAAGTAGCTACTATAAACTATAACTATACTCACTCACTCACTAACAATTACTTTTAAACAAGTAGCTACAATTAACTATAACCATACTCACTCACTCACTAACAAGTACTTTTAAACAAGTAGCTACAATTAACTATAACTATACTCACTCACCCACTCTCTAACAAGTACTTTTAAACAAGTAGCTACTATTAACTATAACTATACTCACCAACTCTCTAACAAGTACTCTTAAACAAGTAGCTACAATTAACTATAACTCTACTCTCTCACTCACTCACTCACTCACTAACACGTACTCTTAAACAAGTAGCTACTATAACTTTAACTATACTCACTCACTCACTAACAAGTACTCTTAAACAAGTAGCTACAATTAACTATAACTCTACTCACTCACTCACTAACAATTACTTTTAAACAAGTAGCTACAATTAACTATAACTATACTCACTTATTCACTCACTAACAAGTACTCTTAAACAAGTAGCTACTATTAACTGTAGCCATACTCACTCACTCACTCACTAACAAGTACTCTTAAGCAAGTAGCTACTATTAACTATACCTATAATATTAATCACTCACTCACTCACTCACTAACGAGTACTCTTAAACAAGTAGCTACTGTTAACTATAACTATACTCACTCATTCACTAACAAGTACTCTTAAACAAGTAGCTACTATTAACTACAACTCTACTTACTCAGTAACAAGTACTCTTAAACAAGTAGCTACTATTAACTATAACTATACTCACTCACTCACTCACTCACTTACTAACTAACAAGTACTCTTAGCAAGTAGCTACTATTAACTATAACTATACTCACTCACTCACTCACTCACTAACAAGTACTTTTAAACAAGTAGCTACTATTAACTATAACTATACTCACTCACTCACTAACAAGTACTCTTAAACAAGTAGCTACTATTAACTATAACTATCTCACTCACTAGCAAGTACTTTTAAACAAGTAGCTACAATTAACTATAGTCATACTCACTCACTTACTAACTAACAAGTACTCTTAAACAAGTAGCTACTATTAACTATAACTATACTCACTCACTCACTCACTCACTCACTAACAAGTACTTTTAAACAAGTAGCTACTATTAACTATAACTATACTCACTCACTCACTAACAAGTACTCTTAAACAAGTAGCTACTATTAACTATAACTATCTCACTCACTAGCAAGTACGTTTAAACAAGTAGCTACAATTAACTATAACCATACTCACTCACTCCCTCACTAACAAGTACTTTTAAACAAGTAGCTACTATTAACCACTTACATATTCATCAAAGTGGTTATGGACGCTCGTACATTTTAACAGATTACTTATTCCTCCGCAATAACTCTTACAATTTATGCTGACATTAGTAAACTCGACGCAAAAGAAATAATTCCATTTTCAACATCTTCGTATTAACGAGTCAACGCTTGACCCATAAGGCTCCTTCGCCGCCCGGAACTTGACGAATGCCTTACTATCCACGTGACAGAGAAGGTTGTGCTCTCTACGGCTTAGGTGCGTGCATTACAATGTTAGCTAAAGGAATCTCCTCAGGTTTCTCCTCAGGAGTCTCAGAGTTCCGGCGCTTACGTCTCCTGTAGACGATTACAGTGATTACAATGGCGATGACAACTACAATCGCAACTGGAATCCCAACTGCAATCCCAACTGTACTATCCGTGTCCCCGGGAGAACCATCTGATGAAGAAGTCACTGCGGACTGTGTGGAGGTTGTCGGCATGTCAGTACCTTCAAGGGAGTAATAGGAAATATCATTGGAGGTTAGAATACTAGTAATCGTTTGTAACTATTCGATATTTGCACACGTGTATTTTAGCGATTCTTAATAGTGATTGGTCAGCTAAAGCCCTAATACGTCACAGCGCTTCATTGCCGAGAACAATATGATATGACGTCATCCATTGTTCAAGAGGTCACAAAATGATTGCAGACGTCATCTGAACAATAGGCTTCATAAGCTTTTCTTCATTTTCTCTCTTACACTGTCAATGAGTAATATCTGGAATTATCTACTTGAATCTCGGAATTAAGTCTCTTGCCAAAGGCTCGACCGTGAAGATCCGGGGTTGAATAGGTCTTCAGCAACCCATGCTTGCGTAAAAGGCGACTATGCTTGTCGTAAGAGGCGACTAACGGGATCGGGTGGTCAGGCACGCTGACTTGGTTGATGCATGTCATCGATCGAAATTGCGTGGATCGATGCTCTTGATGTCAATCACTGGATTGTCTTGTCCAGACTCGATTATTTACAGACAGCCGTCATATAGCTGGAATATTGCTGAGTGCGGCGTTTAACAACAAACAAACCATACCGAAGCCAAAGGCTCGAGATTAACACAATTCATTCACTTGTGACAGATGCTCCGGAAGTCCTCGAAGCTCGTTGGCTATTCTCTCAAGACTCTACTCAGTTGGGATGGATTTAATGTTCTGGTGGTATTAGCATATAACCGAAATAATTAACATGTTTATTTGAGGATGCAATTATAGATATGGAGTGCTTGGAATGATGCATTGTGGAACTAGCACAATACGAAAGTGAGTGAGTGAGTGAGTTGGGTTTAACGCCGCTTTTAACAATATTCCAGTTATATCACGGCGTGTCAGCTTGCTGTGGGAGGAAAGCCCGAAGTGATGCATGTCTCAGACGTTTACCACTTTGGTGAAACCCACGAGCACGGGTATGGTGCTGACAAACCTAGAAACATAATCGGGGTGAACCGGGATTCGAACCCACAATCATAGGTTTCTGGCGTGTCCAGGGGACGCAACTATGCACAGCGAATCGCGGCGCCTTAGACGACTGGGCCACCCGTGCCCCCCACAATACAAAGACAGAACAAAGTTGTAGACACCAATCGTTCTTGCCCTGTGATGACATTTGTTCTTACCTTCAGCCAGCTTGTGTATACCCTCACAGGACACGTTCCTACTGCTACTACTACACGAGTAGACCAGACTGACCTCCCCGAAATGTGAGCTTGTCACGTTGAACTGTGTGGTCTCATTGAACTGTGTGGTCTCATTGAACTCTGTGGTCTCATTGATGAGAGTGGTGTTGATGCGTCCTGTCGTCAAGACAACCAGAGACGACTCAGAGCAGTAGCGTCTTGAAAGGCTCACTGTCAGTATTAGTTTATCTCCCTCATTGAGTGAGCTGGTGTTGGTGTCGCTCGTTATGTTACACGTTGGTGTCTCTGAAAATTATCATGTAAATAATGAACGAAAACGTGAAACAAACAAAACTCACCTTATAAACTGAATACTTAAACCTATATTAACATTGTCTGAATCTTCTTATTGGCATCTGGTGAATTCAGCAATGTATTAGAAGCAAGTTGATGATTTATTGTGGATGTAACAAGTCAACAGTTGAGAAAATGTTCCTCATTCATTATTTCAAGTAGACTGTATGTGATCAGGATTTGTTGGTACCTGTGATGCTTCTAGTGAGTGAGTGAGTGAGTGTGTTGTTAAACGCCGCTTTTAGCAGTATTCGAGCAGTACCACGGCAAGGGACACCAGACACAGACTTCACACTTTGTACCCATGTGGGGAATCGAACCCGGGTCTTCGGCGTGACGAGCGAACGCTTTACTTACGCCACTGTCCCCTTATTTAGAGAGACACGCTTCCATAAGTTCTAGGTATGTATTTTATTAACTTATAATGTAATTAAGTGAGTGAGTGAGTATGGTTTAACGCCACTTTTAGCAATATTCCAGCAATATCACGGCGGGGGACACCAGAAATGGGCTTCACACATTGTACCCATGAGGGGAATCGAACCCGGGTCTTCGGCGTGACGAGCGAACGCTTTAACTACGCCACCTCTCCCCCTTTTTTAGAGATACTCGGTTCCATAAGTTCTAGGTATGTATTTTATTAATTTATAATGTAATTAAAGCACTATTCAATACTTATGAGACAAAATAATGACCTTGGACTATGTTTATGATTGAGTTGAAACGCCAGTTCATACTTACTGACAACAGTCACGTGACAAGTCTCAGGGCGTGGATTATTTGTACCGTTCACACATTTCCAGTCACCCCCATGGGACTGCAGAGCACTGGGTATAGTGAGAACACTGCATGTATTGGTGATGACAGATGCGTTACCATGTGGTATACACTTTCCATTTGATAGATCACACATTGCTGCAATAGCTCCACCGGGTGTTAGGTAGGAAGTGGCATTATAGCTACTTTCAAGACAACAGGTCAGATTCACCGACGAGCCCAATTCAACGACTTCTGGACAGCGAAAACTGGGTGTACCTTTGTGAAAATATGTCCAGATTTGACACACGCTATTTGGAGACATTACCGCTTGGATAGTACACTGATCAGTGTAGCAGGGTGTCGCTGATTTTACGCAGGCAAAGCTGACAAAGCTACAAACTCTGGGCCAACTCGACCTCTATAAAATAATTTATGTTATGGTCTACCTTCGTACGGAAGCCTTTTAGGGCCATTTGTTTTTTTAATTTTTTTCGATACTATCTTGAAATTTCAAGATATTAAGTTGAAATTTCAAGATACTAAGTTGAAATTTCAAGATACTAAGTTGAATACTAATTCAAGATACTATATTGAAATTTCAAGATACTAAGTTGAAATTTCAATATACTATGTTGAAATTTCAAGATACTAAGTTGAAATTTCAAGATACTTTCTTGAAATTTTAAGATACTAAGTTGAAATATCAAGATACTAAGTTGAAATTTCAAGATACTTTCTTGAAATATTAAGATAATAAGTTTTTAACATCCTAAGATGTAAAAATACGTTTGAAGTGAATAATCTTGAATTATCAACTTCTCTATCTTGAAATTTCAACTTAGCATCTTGACATTTCAACTTAGTATCTTGAAATTTCAACTTAGTATCTTGAAATTTCAACTTAGTATCTTGAAATTTCAAGATAGTATCTTGAAATTTCAAGATAGTATCTTGAAATTTCAACTTCTCTATCTTGAAATTTCAACTTAGTATCTTGACATTTCAACTTAGTATCTTGAAATTTCAACTTAGTATCTTGAAATTTCAACTTAGTATCTTGAAATTTCAACATAGTATCGAAAGAATTAAAAAAAACAAATGGCCCTAAAAGACTTCCGTACCTTCGTGCCTTAAATAAATCTTTATTATGCTTAGTCTGTATATATATATATATATATATAATCAATAGAGGATGGGTATATAATGAAATATGGGATGGATAAATTATATTTTAAATGAATATATGATGAGAGGCATTTAGACGTTGGAGTACTAAGTAAGGATAAGATATATGGATGGACAACTTCTTTATTACAATTAGGAACCACGTTTCGGTGTAGGTTCTAACACCGTCATCAAGCAAGCACCATATATCTTATCCTTACTTTCTATAAAGTGGTTCATTTTATGGGCTCCTTTCGTCCCTTAAATAAATCTATATAATACGTAGTCTGTTTGTATTGGTTTGTTTGTTGTTAAACGCCGCACTCAGCAATATTCCAGCTATATGACGGCGGTCTGTAAATAATCGAGGCTGGACCAGACAATCCAGTGATTAATATCATGAGCATCGATCGTTAGTCGCCTCTTACGACAAGGATAGTCGCCTTTTACAGCAAGCATGGGTTGCTTTAGACCTATTCTACAATCAATAGAGTATGGATATATAATTTATGAAGGGGTGGATAAATTATATTTATATGAATATAAGATGAAAGAAGAACATAACCTACAGTTGACGGTTTTCATCAAAAGGGAAATCAAGATGAAAGAACGCATGTATCCATCACATCGGCTGCTCCTATGGGGAACTGACATCTGTAAACACGAAGGTCAATGTGGTGCACATTAAAAGCGGTAATAGTTTTTTTGGTTTGTTTTTTAACGCCGCAATATTCAAGCTATATGACGGCTGTCTGTAAATAATCGAGTCTGGACCAGACAATCCAGTGATTAATATCATGAGCATCGATCCACGCAATTAGGATCGATGACATGCATGAACCAAGTCAGCGAACCTGACCACCCGATCCCGTTAGTCGCCTTTTACGACAAGCATGGTCGCCTTTTACGGCAAGCATGGGTTGCTGAAGACCTATTCTACCCCGGAATCTTCACGGGTCGGTAATATGAGTGAGAGAGCGACGTTTAACACCGCTATTAGCAATATTCCAGCAATATCACGGCGGGGGACACCAGAAATGGGCTTCACGCATTGTACCCATGTCGGGAATCGAACCCGGGTCTTCGGCGTGACGAGCAAACGCTTTAACCACGAGGCTACCCGACCGCCCGAGTAGAAGCAGAAGTAGTAACAGAAGTAGCAGACGTAGTAACATGAGTGACAGAAGTAGCGCTATCATACAGCTGAAATATTGCTGAGGGCGGCGTTAAACAAGAAACAAACAAACAAGAAATAGCAGAAGTAGCGACGGGCAGCACAAGGAGTAATAGAAGTAGTAGCAGAAGTAGTAACAGAAGTAGAAACAGAAGTAGCAGGAGTAGCAACAGAGGTAGCAGAAGTAGTAACAGAAGTAGCAGGAGTAGAAACAGAAGTAGCAGGAGTAGCAACAGAGGTAGCAGAAGTAGTAACACAAGTAGCAGAAGTAGTAACAGAAGTAGCAACAGAAGTAGTAACAGAAGTAGCAGACGTAGTAACAGAAGTAGCAGGCGTAGTAACAGAAGTAGCAGGAGTTGTAGCAGAAGTAGAAACAGAAGTAGTAACAGAAGTAGCAGAAGTAGTAACACAAGTAGCAGAAGTAGTAACAGAAGAAACAGAAGTAGTAACAGAAGTAGCAGAAGTAGTAGCAGAAGTAGCAGAAGTAGTAGCAGAAGTAGTACCAGAGCAGTAGCAGAGTAGTAACAGAAGTGGTAGCAGAAGTAGTAACAGAAGTAGCAGAAGTAGTAACAGAAGTAGTAGGAGTAGAAGCAGGAGTAGCAACAGAAGTAGCAGGAGTAGCAACAGAAGTAGCAGGAGTAGCAACAGAAGTAGCAGAAGTTGTAACACAAGTAGCAGGAGTAGCAACAGTAGTAGCAGCAGTAGCAACAGAAGTAGCAGGAGTAGCAACAGAAGTAGCAGGAGTAGCAACAGAAGTAGCAGGAGTAGTAAGACAAGTAGCAGGAGTAGCAACAGAAGTAGCAGAGGTTGTAACACAAGTAGCAGGAGTAGCAACAGTAGTAGCAGGAGTAGCAACAGAAGTAGCAGAAGTAGTAACAGAAGTAGTAGGAGTAGAAGCAGGAGTAGCAACAGAAGTAGCAGGAGTAGCAACAGAAGTAGCAGGAGTAGCAACAGAAGTAGCAGGAGTAGCAACAGAAGTAGCAGAAGTTGTAACAGAAGTAGCAGGAGTAGCAACAGTAGTAGCAGGAGTAGCAACAGAAGTAGCAGGAGTAGCAACAGAAGTAGCAGAAGTAGTAACAGAAGTAGCAGAAGTAGTAACACAAGTAGTAGGAGTAGAAGCAGGAGTAGCAACAGAAGTAGCAGGAGTAGCAACAGAAGTAGCAGAAGTTGTAACACAAGTAGCAGGAGCAGCAACAGAAGTAGCAGAAGTTGTAACATGAGTACAGAATAGATAGAACTGGTGACAAGAGTAGCAGACGCTGTAGAAGAAACATACCAGCAGAGGTAGTAGGGCAGTGAATGAGTGGAGTGAATCTTGTTTTACGGTGCAGTAAGCAGTATACTAGCTGTGTCACGGCGGGGTGTAACGGGGGTGAAGCCAGTGGTTGAACCATGTTTGCGCTGGGTTCGATGACACATGTTCGATTACAAATAGCCGAGACTTGAAATATGTGAGCCTCTGTTTATCTTCGAAATTCATTCTTCCAACTTTCCCAGTTTCCAAACATTCGTAACCGGCGTCCTGGGGGGAAATGAGGTGAGGTGAGGTGAAATGGGGTTTAACGTCGCGTCCAAGATTATTGCACTAATACAGAGACGTGCATGCACGTGTGTGTTTGTGTGGCTGCTTGTATTATAATAGTCCGGACTGATGCCGATTTATAATGCTAGCTCACTGAGATACCATGCCGCAGTTTAACATGAATACCCCGCTCAGACACAGTATACTGACTCCGAGCCGACCAGTCCTTGTTTTAGCCCCTTAATGCCGAGCGCCAGACAGGGTAACAACAAGTACCATCTTTTAAAGTCTTTTGGGATGACGCGGCCGGGGATCGAACCCCGGACCTTCCGTTCTCCGGGCGGACGCTCGACCACTAGACCACGGAGGCGGTCGTCGGGGGAAATGATGCAGCTAACCAGCTTCAGTAGCTTAGACATTTGTCATGTCAATTGATTGTGACGGCATGGTACCCAAAGATGTCACAATGGTCTAAAAGGCAATGTAAAGCAATTCTATTTCCTCACAGCGATATCTACCGTGTAAGTCTGTCTTGGCCACACAAAATTATACTGTTGCCTATACAGTAAACTACGGATATAACGAACTCAAAGGGACCACTAATTTGAATTCGTTTTAACCGTAGTTCGGTATAAGCATATATACAGCATATATGCAGCAAATGAGTGAGTGAGTGAGTATAGCTTTAAACCGCTTTTAGCAATATTCCAGCAATATCACGGCTGGGGACACCAGAAATGGGCTTCACACATTGTACCCATGTCGGGAATCGGGTCTTCGGCGTGACGAGCCAACGCTATAACCACTAGGCTACCCGACCGCCCCTGCAGGAAATGAACGGGACCCCAACACAGTTCGTTATATCCGTCCGTTCGCAAAAGGGTTTCATTATAAACGTAGCTTAATGTATTTTCCATCAGGAGCAAGTGGAAAATTAGGAAATGTAGGACCAACATTAATAACAGTATCTGAAGGTGTACATGCTACAGAAATGCGAGATGTGAATATTTGAAACTTTATGAAAGGTATACATACATCAGGTGTTAACGGTGACAATACCAAGGCTCCTTTTCTTGCAACAGCTGCAAACGTCGGGTAAATCTGAATTTGTCCACTAAATATTCGATCGATAGTGTAAAATATTTCCTGGTTATTTACTGTTCATGGTACATTGTTAACATACTTCACACTCTCTGTTATCAGCTGTCTGGCACTTTCAGTTCACAGTGACCCGTTAGGAAATAGGAAAACATCGCCTCATGTATAACTGAATGTTATTCGGATGTGATAATGACAATGTTGTATCAGCAGTATTTTAATTTCTGAGGTTACTGCACGAGTCGAACTGTAGTATGGTTTGGTTGGGTTTGTTGTTTTACGCCGCACTCAGCAATATTCCAGCTATATGACGGCGGTCTGTTAATAATCGAGTCTGGACCAGACAATCCAGTGATTGACATCATGAACAAAAATCCACGCAATTGGGATCGATGACATGCATCAACCAAGTCAGCGAGCCTGACCACCCGATCCCGTTAGTCGCCTTTTACGACAAGCATAGTCGCCTTTTACGGCAAGCATGGGTTGCTGAAGATCTATTCTATCCCGGATCTTCACGGGTCAGGGTATGATCGTGTTTTGGGGTTGAGGTTAGGTGTTGGGTAGAGATCGAGGTAAGGGGTTATTGGTAGAGGTAAAAGTAGATGTTTGTTTGTTTGTTGTTTAACGCAGCACTTAGCAATATTCCAGCTATATGACGGCGGTCTGTAGATAATGGAGTCTGGACCAGACAATCCAGTGATTGACATCATGAGCATCGATCCACGCAATTGGGATACGATGACGTATATCAACCAAGTCAGCGAGCCTGACCACCTGATCCTGTTAGTCGCCTCATTTACGGCAAGCATGGGTTGCTGAAGACCTATTCTACCTGTGATCTTGACGGGTCATATGATATAAATAAACAATCATATTTATTACTGAATATAAAAATATGATCGTTTTTTCACATCCTGTTGTAACCAATTTTTACAGAAAACTGACTTATTGCTAACAGTAGAGTTGAACTGCAAGGCATCATAAACATGTTTAAATATTAATTCTTGACATATATCACATCCGCAGTGGAGCCCCACTGCGCAATAAAACTTTTGGGAAAAGGTAAATGCGGAAGTTAAAACGGCTTACAAACTAACACGCATTCATGTTTTAAACTGATAACATTTGTACATTTCATACCTGTGTGCAAGCAAGTCCAGACCCGATTACTTACAGCCCGCCGTCATATAGCTGGAATATTGTTGAGTGCGGCGTTAAACAACATACAAAAAAACGAACAAACAAACACACAAGCTAAAAAACTGGATGTGGGTGTGGGTGTAGTTTGTTTTTCTTTGATCTTTTTTTTCGTGTGTGTAACTGTGTGTTGAAGGGGGTGGGAGGTGGGGGGGGGGGGGGGGGGGGGTGTGGGTAGTTATGGAGTACATCAGTAATGTACGTTTTTCTTCCGACCTGTTTCAACAGTATACGTGATAGTGAGGACGTAAGTGGCTTATGAGGAGACATTCAGAGGCTCTTGGTGTCGCATATGCACTCAACGGCTTTTTGAACGAGATCGGACCGTTCTGCGCAGTGCTGGTGCAGACCCACAGCTATATATTTAGCACAGTTTTGTCCCAGCTGCATGCCGGTTGTACAGTGTGGTTACTGATAGCAACAGGCTGCGACTACCGCGTGACATGCACCCCTTTCTGTTTCGACAGATATTACTTCCTGGTCGTATTGACTCGGGGCTCACCACACACAATAGACAGCTGCTGGGCGATTCCTCTCACATCAAACAGGGGCTGTGTACTCGCGGGCAGATGACCACGGAGTAGGCTGACCACTGTGTCGGATTAACGAGACTGATTAATGAGTGACTTCGGTAATTCGTTGCAAATTAGGTGTGTCGGAGTCGGAGTGCGAGACTGTCGGAATAACGGGTCAAGATGGGACTGATCGGCTCGGTTCCCGACAGTCGTGGCGGATAAACCCGATTGTCGGATTAACGTGACTTGAATGTAAGTGGATTATACTTATTTGTAATCATCACATGATCACTATTCCATGTCGGCTTGCATTTGGGATTAAATAGGACAGTGTGTAGTCTGATATAGACGCAGTCCCGGTGTAACTTGATAAGGACAGTGTAACAGTGTGGCAGTACTAATTATGTTTGTTGGGTGCCGTGTTACAGAATGGCGAAGTTCAGCAGGAAAAAAATAATTAAATCAAGGGTATTGTAGTGATCGTAGGTTTCCGGAGGTCTTCGGAAAGGTTCGAGTTGGTCGTCCCGTGGCTGACCGCGGGAGACCCCAGATTCAGTGAGTTGTCAGCCATCGTTGTGAGTAAACCAGGTCGAGAACCCAGCTCAATGCAGTATTGACTTAGATACTGACTTGACGAACTGACAGCCCTTGTACGTGAGTAGAAAACAAGGTTTGTGAAACCGAGATATCGTTTTCACAACAGTGGCGCTGTGAACACATCGAATTTTCTCGGGAAAATATTTTTTTCCGAATTCGTCGACTGCTCGACATTGCCCCCACGCCGTCGCCATCTTGCTTTTCTTGGCTACAGTTGGTTGGTTGGTTTGTTGTTTAACGCCGCACTCAGCAATATTCCAGCTATATGACGGCGGTCTGTAAATAATCGAGTCTGGACCAGACAATCCAGTGATTGACAACATGAGCATCGATCCACGCAATTAGGACATGCATCAACCAAGTCAGCGAGCCTGACCACCCGATCCCGTTAGTCGCCTTTTACGACAAGCCAGCATGGGTTGCTGAAGACCTATTCTACCCCGGAATCTTCACGGGTCTTTTGGCTACAGGGACAAGAGGGATATTTGGCTAAAGTTGAATGAAACTTTAGCATTTTGCGACGATTGGAAACATTTTTCGCCCGGTTAGTACCGTGCGACTTTGTAGTAGTAATTTCTTTTCACAGCCTGTTCCGTATCGGCTGGTAAATTTATAGTTCACCGCACGTGGAAATCAGCGTGCGTTGATCAAGTACGTCCGTTTTCGTGGCTGTGCACAATAATTAATAATTAGGGAACAGTAGCGTATCAGAAATTTATGTTCTTATATCAATTTTGACCCTTTCACATGCGTAGTTGTGTGTGACAATTGGTGACAGCTCGTAACGGATGTTTGTTGACATTGCCTCGAGAGTGTCACCCGTTTTCGTCACGGACGTATAAGTTCGTGAGTTGGTATGTCATAACAGTGAGTGAGTGAGTATGGTTTTACGCCGCTTTTAGCAATATTCCAGCAATATCACGGCGGGGGACACCAGAAATGGGCTTCACACATTGTGCCCATGTCGGGAATCGAACCCGGGTCTTCGGCGTGACGAGCGAATGCTTTAACCACTAGGCTACCCGACCGCCCCTTATGTCATAACAAATAGCGTAGGTGTTTAGTGTAAGGGGAAGTAGGAATAGTATTGTTATTTTCATTAGGATTCAGGGCAAATAGTTGTCTGGATATATTGTATTATTGTTCATTGCTCGGTGTGATTTTCCAAAGTATTCTACACACTGTTGGAAGATGGAGGATAAGGGGGTGAGAGTCAATTATGCCACTTGGTCTCAACTATGTGAAATCCAAGGGATTGATATAGGACTGGCGCAGATGATCATAGACCGGAGAAGTGTGGTGGGCAATCTCATCCTGGATGATGTCCGCAGTTTAGAGGGATTTGATGACAGTGACGAGGTGGTGAGCCAGTTAGACTTTGCCATAAACCCCGAACATGGCAACAGGCGAAGGAACCATACCGAGAGGATGGAGGATCAGCATGTGCAATCCATACGACTGGATGCAGGAGGGTGGAGATGACCAGGCCGAAGGGGGAATGTCACAGACCCAGACACATCCGAGGGGGTGGGAAGTTATGGAGAGACTGTTGGACCATCAGAAAAACATGGCAGAGGCTCAGGAAAGGAGACTATCAGAGATGCTGGCAGCCCAGGCTGAAACTAGCTTGCAGATGAGTCGGGAACAGATGAACGAGATAGCTAAGCTCCAGGCTGAAACTGGCTCGCAGATAGTCAAGGCTTTCGCTAATAGTCAAGGCTTTGGCTAATTTGGCTCCCACACTACAAGGCCCGGGAAAGAGTAACTCGGGCCTGCAGCAAGACAGGCCGGCACTTATGAGTCCGTCGCGGGAAATAGTTTCCAGTATCCAAAGGGGACCGCGGGTTCACCCGGAACCGAGGTTGGACGACAGCCCACAAAGACAGTACCACCCTTCTTCAAGAGCAGAGGGGAGCGAGTATAGTGGGGAGGCGGTTTCTCCCGGGAAAGCACCGCCAGTAAAAAATGAGCCTGTAACGCCGATCCCACCGGTGCCGAGGGAACAGGACTACAGATTGCCGCCACCTGTGGTCTCGACTTACAGCACTGTAGGGGGTGGAGAGGGGGCGCGAATCAAGGACACACAACACAAGCAATTGTTGCAGAGTGTGGATTATCTGACCACGGAGCAGAACCGGAAACATGCTCGAGGATCGCCACAGGGATGTACTCCCCAGTTTCAACTACAAAAACGGTTTGAACGCAGTGAACTTGCGGAGACGGCACAGATACGATTCCCTACCATGAGGCAAGAGGGGGGAGAGACATAAGATGACTGGGCGCAGCTATTATTGGCCACGGCTGTGGTAGCTTTCAGGGATTCTCCAGACCAGTTCATCGATCGTCAGGTGATAATGCGTCTCTGCCATGGATGCGAAAACAAGGAGGCTGGACAATTCATCTCTAACATGAAACCAGGGACCCTGGAGGTCGCCATTGCAAGCTTGTGCCAATACCAGCATAACACACAGGCAGTGCACAGCAAAAAAAATGCAGTTTCCGGTATCCGGATACCTGCCGGATACCACCGGACACTTACCCAAAACGCGTCCGGGTATCCGGTGGCAGATACCTTGCCGGATACCAGATCCGTGGTATCCGGCATGGACACCTCACCTGAAAGTATGCCACCTGGAATCCGGGTATCCGGCACCGGATACCTCACCGGATACCGCAATCTGGGTGTCCAAGGATCCGCACCGGATACCAAGAATCCGGCACCGGATACCTCATTCTGAGTTTCCAAAAACATGTCACAATTTGGGGGTGCATTTTGTTCAATTAAGTGTGAAACATCTAAATATATATTGGAAACTAACCATGAAAATTGAACATTGCTGAAGGTATCCGGCAGGTATCCGGATGTAATTTTTCGAGATGTCTTATTTCTGGTAAATAATGTTAGCCTGGGCATATCAGATAGCTGTAGTAATATTCTGTGTCATTTTAGTTGTAAATATCCCCTTAAAGTTGAGATCTATGGGCATGTACTTTTGGAGAAGACAATTTTTTTCAATTTCATCTATAATTCTTTTTAGATGTTAAGCTGTTTAATGAACAAACATCAGTTCTAATACATGTATGATGATATCCTTAAATTTCATGTTCAGACTTCCAGATTATTCTGAGTGAAAGTATAAACTCATCGACTGTGTGGTCACTTGGGCCTTTGGTCCTAGTGAGATGATAATATGATTATTTGTAAAGGTACAAGTACTTGTTATGAGCATACCAGCTTCATTTAAGTTTGAAACACAATATGCCTCACTCTGAGGGTGACATGTACCAGATTTCATCTCACTACAGAGAGCTGTTCCTCAGTTACTGTGAACATTTTTACTGAAAGACATTGAAAGCTAATTTGACCTTCAATATCAGTTGCGACTATTTCAAAAACAATTGTAAAGTGCTTCATTCAGTGTCTGTCTGTAAAGTAACCACTAGTGCATTTCTGTATGTAATGAGTCAACAGTTGAATGTTCTTTAAGAAGCATACATTGTTTACCCACAAAAGATCCACCATGGTCGCATCCATATGAATGCCAAGTTTCGATCAAATACATTGAATGTTTTTCGAATTCTGCCCCAGAAATGAACCTCATCCCCAATTGAGTCTATGTCCAACTTGATTCCATTAAAAAAAAAAAAAATAAAAAAATTAGAAAAATCCCAAAATTTGAAAGGCACCACTTCAGTATGTGCATGATAGCTTTGCCAAGTTTCGATCAAATACACTGAATGGTTTTCGAATTCTGCCCCGGAAACGAACCCCATCCCCAATTGAGTCTATGTCCAACTTCATTCCATAAAAATTTTAAAAAATAAAAATTAGAAAAATCCCAAAATATCAAAAGGCACCACTTCAGTATGTGCCTGATAAGAGTTGCCAAGTTTCGATCAAATACACTGAATGGTTTTCGAATTCTGCCCCGGAAACGAACCCCATCCCCAATTGAGTCTATGTCCAACTTCATTCCATAAAAATTTTAAAAAATAAAAATTAGAAAAATCCCAAAATATCAAAAGGCACCACTTCAGTATGTGCCTGATAAGAGTTGCCAAGTTTCGATCAAATACACTGAATGGTTTGGGAATCCTGCCCCAGAAAAGGAAATGATTACGGACGGACAGACAGGCTGATCACTATATCCCCCGTATTATATGCCGGGGGATAAAAAGTAAGTGTATGACCTGTTGCCAACTTCTATCCCTGCCCTAAGGAAGAGTTTGGCCATTAACAATTTTTTTGTCTGGCTGTGACATTGACCTTTGACATAGCAGATCAATGTGTTATTCCAAAGATGTCCAAGCAATGCATGGTTTTATACGATAACTGTGGCTATCAAACTGAGGCAAAATATTGGAAAATCCCCATTTACACAGCTGGCTAAAGAAACAAACAACAAACAAATTATCAATTTCTTTTATTTATATGCATATATCACACATTGAACAGTGTTCATATAATGGTTCCTGATGCAGTATGCACTTTCCTCCTATTCTTCAATACTCATAACAGAGCGGGATAACTGTTCGCTTGAAAGCATCAGCAGACCATGCTCACCAGTTCAGAGTTACTTGCCCTCAAACATCCTTTTCCTTCTATATTGCCATGGAAAAACAGGAACCAGGATGAGGGGAGGCCAGATGGGCTC